CACCCTTCAAATGGCAATCTTCACAACATGTCTTTTACATGCTAATGTAAAAGATTCAGGAATCCAGCCATTTGTGGAACATTTTTTGCACCTGTAGGGCAGTGAGTTACAAGTGGCCATCTAGCAGTCATATGCCATTGCAGCCAGGAGAAACATCTCAGTGTTGGGAAAATGTGCAAAGAAGCCAAACTGCATAAGGTATCTCCTGTATGACACTCCTTTGACACCATTAAAAAGCAGAGCAGCATAATGGGAGCAGCAGCGGAAAAACAACAGGCACCTAAGAAGAATATACTTCTAAGGAGGAAGTACAAAGGCTGTGCAGTTGTCAAATTGGAGGCCTACCAGTGTCAAAGATAACAGGAAACTCTAAGGAAAAACAAAAGACTAGTGATAATGTGGGTCCAGTACACAATGAAGTAGGTGCCCTGATATCAGGAGATTCTCAGAAAGCAGAAATGATGGATAAAATAGAAATTTATACTTGTTTTCATTTCACAAAGACTTACTAGACCTCTTGCTTCTCTTCAATTGTGTTCAGGACAAGGAATGTCAGGATATAACAATCATCTCATTCAGTAGTCACCTACAATTTATATTTATTGCTCTAATAACATTCTACTGGGAGAAGGGAACCAGTCCCAACCTGCCCTTAAAAATCCCTTTCTCTTGGATCAAAATGATGATGAGGTAGAAATATTTTCAAACGCACACTTATATTTTTCTGTCCAGATACAGTCAGTACAGTCAAAGCCACTTTGACACTGAGACAACTCATTCATGAGTCATGAGTGTCCAGTGACTACACTGAGATCATATGCATCTTGGTGACATATAGACATCTACATGTCCCATTCCACATGTTTGTTCGATGAGCTGATTCACACCATGAGGGAGGATTGTACCCTCAGCACGCCTCTATTGCTGATTTTCTGGCATTGTGAGTGCAATGGCACTACAGCAGAAACACGTTAATGTAAATCTATTCTCTTCCTTTCCTTGCCTTGCTCTGTATCTCAAGGCAGAGATCTCCACATCTATGTACAGGGAAGTTGTTTTTGTGGATGTGCTCACCTCTCTGTGATGCTACACGGAGCTTCTTGTTTAAGATCTGAGTGCCTCCAGTTCTCTCCACACTGAAGATGTGCCAAGGGGAGAGACTGACTTCACTTGTGTTGCACTGAACATACAGTTGGACTCACCAGTGAGAGCATCTCCACTCAGATTTCCCTTGGACAGAGAAGGGAACTGGGACCAGAAAAATACCTGCCACACTAGTAGAGA